TAATAATAATAATAATAATAATAATAATAATAATAATAATAATAATAATAATAATAATAATAAAAAAACCAGAATAGGTAAAGCAGAGGTCTTTCCAGCAGGAAAGGCTGGAGACTGAGAAAGAGAAAAAGAAAACAGATCCTTTAAAGTATGGATTAGTACACAGTTATCAAGAATACCACAGACTGCAAGAAAAACAAGCCAATCAAGGTCCTGAAAGAAATACAAACTGGCTGCTTTCTTGAGGTTATAAGTAGCAAGCAAAAATTCACAAACCTTGGGAAGGTGATACTAGAAAAAGCTATTTTACTTGGTAAAGGTGAGGAAAGTAGATAAAGGGAAAGGTGAAAGGACAGGACTGGTGGTATCACTGGAATGTCTCTGTAATAGCTGTGGGATGTTGCTAAGGATGGGCCCAAAAGGAGGGCATTTGTCCACAGAGTCACCAGAAATCCGATCCATTTTTATGACATTTAAGTATACACACTTACATGCATCGTACATATTCCCAATTAAATTATAATTTAATTTATAAATTATAATTTATTAGCCACCCAACTCCAATGGACTCCCTTAATGCTCTTTTAATGCTCCTTGCATTTATCAATAGTTCTTCTTTTCTAATTCTATACTGTTGTTAATAGTTTTTGTCATTTCTTTTTTTTTTTGGTCCTGAAAAATGATGATGATGATGATGATACATTTCATCAAACTGCTTAAGTGGCTGATAGACAACAGAAGTCTCATTCTTCTAATGGAACATCAGACTTAACTGCTTTCAAACTCATTTAGCAAGTTAAAACCAAGTTATCAAAATTAAGGAACCTAAATGGACCCTAAATAGAAACTAGATGGACACGTCACTATTAAATGTCAGGGTTTTTTAATGACTAAATGGTTTTACAATCCTTGTAATGATTGTAATTCCCCAGTTTCAGTACAGAAACTGGGGAATTTCTCTACTGAAATGAATGGGAGTACGGCTGTTAATCTGTGTAACTCTCAGGCATTTTAATGGAGCTGGCACAGAAAAACAGCTGGCATAGGAGTACCTATGCTTTAAGGAACCTATTTTTCATTATATAGGAATTTCCTTGAGAATCCAGTAATTGAGAAGCTACTGTTTTAAGGGACTTTGGGCAAATAAAATTAGAGGGGTGAATAAACGTGAACCAAGTTAGTTTGTTTTTAGGCTCTTACACAACAACAGTACAATACTAAAAGAGTTGTACACATTTGGAATAATAAGACCAAATGGTTTTACCTGCAAAAGCGTATGAACTGCATGCGTAACTGGAAAAATACCTTCTGTGACTGATAAGCAACTTGAAAATCCAACAAAGTATCCAATTTTGAAAGAATCCATAATTAAAGTAATCACTGCAAACAAAGTAATTCCACCTGGAACGAATGTTAAAAGAAAGAATTATTCTAAAGATAAGAACTTTAGATACTGTCAAAATGAAGGGAAAGCTACAATTTTAATTTAAACATTAAAGTTGGAGGCACTGAAACAAAAAATTTCATTCTGATTCACATATGTGAAACACAGGAAGACTCCTCCTCCCCCCAAAAATACAATGTAGTTCAAATGTTGAGAAACAACACATTATCAACATTCAATTGCTGCAAGTCAGGTATAGACATCCCAGTGTGGCTTCCTGTAAAAAAAATGTTTTATCTGTTTACAAGGCTTATAGGCTGCTCCAGTCAGCTGGCTCCAAGCAGTGCATAAGTCCCCAATACATAATAGGGCTTAAAAGCAAACACCATACATTGTAATAATATAAAACTGGGTATCATGATCAAAACAACAAAAGTCGGATGAAGAGGCCTAACAACCCAGCCCCAGCTTGGTGAAGCCACTGGGTTTTCACCAGTTTTCTGAAACCAGGAGGGAGGGCACCGACTGCCTATGTGTGGGGAGCTACTCCAGAGGAAGGGGTGGTGAAAGAAAAGGCGTGCTTCTGTGGCCCCTGAAGATGACAAAATCTCATGGGGTGGGCAGAGGTTACTGGGAAAAGGCAGCCCATAGATACCGAGGCCCTGAACCATGAAGGGCTTTAAAGGGGAACACCTTACCTTACCAGCACCTTGAATTGCACCTGGAAGCCACCTGGTCATGAGTGCAGTTCTCAAAGTAAAGGTGTTATGTGAGTGCCTCAGGATGCACCCAAAACTACTTGAGCTGTGGTATTCTGGACCAGCTGTAACTTCCAAATGTTCTTTAACAAAGCCCTATGTAGAGCACATTCCCATAATCAGATTGAGAGGTAACTAAGACACGAGTAACTTATTTTGCCAGAGGTCAAGATGTACAGCTGGACATCATTACTATACTGATGAAATGCTGAGAGAGGATTTCACCCAGCAATTTCATATAGATATTGAATATACATTGACCTCTGCAGCACCTCACAATTGAGGGGCGTTGTAAGAGTTGCCGCATTCATCGCTGAATAAAAACTCCATGAGACGCAGGCTCGTACAAAAGCAATTTACTCAGGTGTAATGCAGGTTGTTACAAACAAAGCCAGGGTTGGCTTGGCACAGGTTACATAGCATTTTATAGTCTCCCCATTTCCCACGCTTAGCAAGTCCCGCCTGCTGCCCGCCCCTGCCCATCCTTGGCTCGCCCCTCGCCCCTGGCTCTCCCCACCATGGGCTGATGGCAGATTCAGCCAGGGTCCTTTGTTTTTGGCTGCTTTGCTTGCGTGGCAGGTCCCATGAGGCTGACTCACGATTGCCCTTGATGGGCAGTTGAGCCGGCTGGAGTTTTTGTCTTCATTGTTGGCTGCTGGCCTGGGTTGGGGGAAGTCCCGCTTGTTACAAAGTAATTGATTCCTGCTGTGGGTTGATTGCCGCCACCTGTCGGCAGTTTACTTGCCATTTGCGCTTCCTCTTTCGATCTCCTGCACCTGAGGCAAGGAAACTGACTAGGCGCGTTTGAAATTAGCTAGGCAGAATGGCGGCTAGCTTGAGTGTGCCGTGCCAGGCTGAACCTGACAGGCATGAGGTTTGATCTCCTCTCCTGACCCTCTAACTGAAACCATCCCTCCGTGCCTAGCGATTAACATTCCCATCCCTCCCCCTCCTTCCTCCCTCTCTCTGTAATGGCAGAAACGAAGCAAGCAAGCTAGCAGTACAAGTGATTGATTGCAAGGATTCTGACACCAGGTGCTATGGAGCCAGGCCCTTCCTCTGCCAGCCAGGAAGAGGTGCCAGGAAGCAGGGTAAAACCCCTGGCTTCAGCGTGAAGGCTGTGCCCCACCAAATGAGTGTCTCATGAGCAAGTGGCAAGCCTCTTCAGGCTCCAGCCAGCTGGCCACCTCCTCACTGGCACTGGCTGTGCAAAAGGAGCTGCAGCTGTGCCGGTCCCAGTGAGAAGGGATTTAAATAGTTACACAGCCACCTCCAAGTGGCTGGAAGCAACTTCTGTGTCTAGCTCCTTGCCTTGTGTTTCTGACTCTTACAATTCTGCTTTGTTTCTGACTTGGACTCTGATTCTCTTTCTAGCAATCCAAAGACAACTTTGGTACAGTACTTGACAACAGGTACTCTCCCTGGGCTCTTGAGGAACTTGATGTGCACAAGCACATTCCCACATCATCCTTCAGGCCAACTCCCTTGTCCTGAAGGGACAAGGCCTTGTCCTTCTCTCTCTGCCCTGCCTGTATACTCACCCTGCATGACCTCCTCCTCACCTCTCCGCTGACCATCCTCAACATAAGCACCTCCCAGCTCCCCCACAAACCCTGCAAACAGATACACAGAGAACACCTTCCCCTCTCCTGCATCAGCAGTTGCCCTCGCCCCACAGCTCAGACAGGAAAGGATCGTGCACTGTTTGAACAGAAATTACTGAAATTCTTTATGACTGATACTGTGCTGATGTTTAATACTAAATGGATTTTAACAATGATTGGCAGTTTTTAAAATGATATAAGATATTCAGTTATGTAAAACTAATGATACATTAAAAATTCTTATCTAACAAATTTAATCCTACTTCATTCTATGATGCTTGTAAATTCCCTGTTTATTTACTTTTTTCTTTTTCATTGCCTCTTTCTCTCTCTTTTCTTGTCCTTTCCTTTTTTCTTTCTCAAAAATATTTAATAAAAATAAAATGTATTATATAAAAATAAAACATAGTAGACTATTATGTTCCCTCCCACACCATTAATGTATTCAGAATTTCTAATTATGGGGAGAAGATGCTCTAAAATCATATTTAAAAATAAGGAAGAAGGGACAAGGAACATATTCTTGGCATATATCTCAACTCAGATTTAACCATGAACATGATACACCAGGACCCATGATTTATGGGTTGAATAAATGATATCAATACAAAATACAGTATAAAACTTTGGGGAAATTCAAAATAACTTTGATATTTACCTCATTCAAACTAAAGGACATGGAGTTATTTGAAAAAGCTTCACCATATGACTATAGTAAACAGAAGATAAAAACCCAGTACATGTAAGGATCGCCGCGTTCAATGCTGAATAAAAACCTCGTGAGACACAGGCTCGGACGAAAGTTACTTTACTCAAGTGTAATGCATAACAGTTACAGACAAAGTCAGGATTGGCTTGGTACGTTCCTTACAGTGTTTATATGGGATTTCCCCCCTTGACCCCGCAGTACCCCTGGCTTCCACCTCTGCCCATACTTGGGTCGCCCTTCCGTCGTCAAGCTCCCCCTCGGTTCTTCTAATTGGAGGTTTAATCCTCTTTCCTTTTTTTTTTTGCGCCGTGCGTTTTGGGGTTTTCTTTTTTGGGGGAAACATGAGGGGTTTTTTTTGTTT